ACCTGAAGCACTGACTGGTAGGGTGGGGCCGGCTGGACCATGTGGAAGGTGGTAGGGAGGTGTGAGCACACAGAGCCTGAATAGAGCCAAGGTTCAGGGGCCAGGTAGTGTACCAGGCAGAGGGTGCCGCAGGTGCAGGGACCCAGGGACCCGAGGGCTTGGCCCGTGTGGCTGGAGCAGGTAGGCAGAGGCCAGGGAGGGGTGATGAAGTCAGAGGGAGCCGGAGCAGGTCCTGCGGGCAGTGAGATCTTGGCTTGACTGAGTTCTCAGGGCTCCTCCCTGGACTCGCTGTGCTGGAGAACGGCCAGTAGGGGGCAGAGGTGGAAGCAGGGGCCCAGGCAGTGCTCCTGGCTTGGACCAAGTGGACGTGGTGGGCAGATGCTAATATACTTTGGAGGTAAAGCTGACAGGTTTTGCTGACACATAATATTGGGTGAAGGGGCTCTTGAGCAAAAGAGGAACAAGGCTGACTCCAAGGGTTATGGCCTAAGATACTGGAAGAGTGGAGGTACCCTACCCCACGATTTGGAGTATTCAGGGAGGGGCATTAGAGTTGTTGTCTGTTGAACAGGGAGGACACAGTCTGGATGGATGGATGGATGGATGGATGGATGGATGGATGGATGGATGGATGAGTGGGTGGATGGATGGGGTGGATGGGATGGATGGATGTTCCTCCCCTCCCCCCGCCAGCCCCTGATGGTGATCATGTTGGGCAGGAACGCCACCTTGTGGCCAAGTCCCAGAGGTGCCAGCTGACAGTTGGATGTTCCTCCAAGTTCCTCTGTAGTCCCAGATGTGGGGGACCTAGACCTGCGCTAGCCAGGGGGCCTTAGCTTCATGTAAAGGTACCTCATCCCTATGCGGGTTTCCTTATCCATAAAGAGCATCTTACTTGGCTGCCCATCAGATGACACTGCCTCTGTCCCTCCCTCCTTCTGCCCCTCCCTTCCTAAGCGGCACCACCCCTCCCTCCGAGCCTCTTGACCTTCATCTGCAAAATGCTCACAGTGCAAAAGCCCAGGAGGAGCTCCGAACAAAACCACAGAGGCTTAGGAGCCCTGGGATGTGGCCCTGCAGGTTAGTGTTGGCCTGCAGCTGCACGGTTGGCAGTTTAAACCCACCGGCCCTCCTGAGGGAGAAGGGTGAGAGTCCGAGTCTCAGAAACCCTTTACAGCCGGAATCTGCTCAGTGGCGGTGGCTGGGCTGTGCCAGGCTGCCCCGGAATGATGGATGCAGCGCTGACTTCCCACCGCTGCACGATGTTCTATCACTCCACAGAAGAGGAAACCCCACAGAGAGCGTTAGGTAGATTGGCAGACATCACGCCACAGGAGTGGCGGAGCTAGGATTCAAAGCCAAGCCTTCTCAGTGAGTGTAAAGTTTGAAGGCCGTGAACTAGTGTGGATGAGCCCCTAGCCTTCCTACTGCTCTCCGCCCTCCAGGCTCTAGGTTAGGCCGCTCGTAAAATCTGCTCCTGCCTGTCACCACATGTAAATGAGGGCAAGGCCAGGTGAGTTCCAGGGATCCTTGAGTGCTTCCTAGAGGAAGTCAAGGCCGAGGGCAAAATTGCAAAGTGGGTGGAATTCACGGCATCCCCACGTACAACGAGGAGATGTTGCCAGGCCGTTGTTGGAACACCCACCCCTCCTCCAGTTCCATCTGCCTGCCTCGTCTCCCAGTGCTCTATCCAGCAATATGCTGCGGTGACCTGCGGGGCGTCCCCTATGGAGAGGGTCAGGCCTTTCTCCTCAGGCTGCTCAGCTGGAACCTGTCCGAGGGGAGGGGCCCTGCAGGTGTTTGAAATCCCAGCGGCCCAGCTCTGGCATCACAGTGAACACACAAGCCACCGGGGCTCCCAAAATTCAAAGACTCCTCCGGGCTGAGGGTGGTGGGGATGGGGCCCTGAGCTGCAGCCCGTGTCCACTGACACCCATCGCTGCTGTTGGCACACGTGTGTTGGGCCTGCCTGTGGCTCTGTCCCAGAGTAACAGACCACCCACCACCCCACCACCCGCCCACCTGCTCATGTGTGACTCATGATTCTGTGAGCCCCTGCTGGATGCATGGAAGCATGGCCAAGAACGCAAGTGCTCCCAGTGGACCCTGCCGTCTCCCTCCCTGGGATCAGTTCAGGGATCCCTCTGTGCCTCCGTTGTGTCATCTGTAACGTGGGGCTAAAAACTAGCAACCTCGGAGGACTGCCTGAGAGCTGAGTGAGCAGATGCGTATACCACCATGGGCACAGAGCCTGCGCACAGGCGACATGGGGGCTACTGTTGTCAGTCGTTGCTATCATTGAGTGGGTTCTGCTCCTGGTGACCCCCGTGTGTGCAGAGAGGGGCTGTCCCACGGACTTTTCAAAGCTGTCACCTGTGGGAAGCAGGTCAGCAGCCTGCCTCAGTAGTTGTATGAATAGGCGGCAGATAATCATAAGACAATTGTTTACAAAGGGTTCCCATGTCCAATGTGTCCCTTGATCAGACCAAGAGCCTCGTGCTGTTGCTGTGGTTACTAGGCCCCTTTACAGACTTGGAGAGCAGCTGAGTGGGTGTGGGGGGAGGCTGCTGACACAGCCGTCGCCCGACTGTGACCCTGTGTCCCCCGTGTGTGCCCCCCAGGAACCAGTGATGACCCGTTCCAGGACTCGGAAGGGCGCGAGGGCTCCGAGGCTGTGGAGGAGCACCAGTTTTCAGACCTGGAGGACTCCGACTCCGAGTCCGACCTCGACGAGGACGAGGACGACGAGGAGGAGGAGGAGAGCCAGGATGAGCGGTCCACACCGGCCTCCGAGGCGCCCGCGCTGCAGGCGGACTCCTCGCCCAGGCAGGCCCTTCTGCCCCCTGATGTCCCCGCCGACGCCCCAGAGGCGAGCGCCGGCTCCCCGTGCAGCCGCAGCACACTGGGCCCCACGCCGCCCGGGCCGGCGCCCCCAGGCCCCGCGGAGAGGGACGCAAGCCCGGGCCGCAGCTCCAAGGTCGGGCTGCCCAGGAGACCATGGTCTCCAAGCGGAGAAGCCGCCAGCCGCCCACCGTCTGCCCGCAAACACTCACTCACCAAAAACGACTGGTCCCCCCAGCAACACTCATTGGCCTCCGCCCCCAGCCCGCCGGGCAACCAGCCCAGCCCAGGGAGGGACAGGGGCCTTCTTCCCTGTGGCTCCCCGAGACTCGAGCTGTCGCCTCTCAGTCCCAGCCCCCCTCAGAGACAACTGACCCCTCAAGCGCATCTGGCCCCCGAACGCGAGGGCTCCACAGACCCAGGCCTTTCTGGACCCTCGTCCCCCAGGAGACGGTCCCTGGGGCAGGCAGAGTCACCACCGTGGCCAGCGCTGCCAGGGAAGTGGGCGTCGGGCAGCCCGGGCGTGGGGCCGGCCCCGCGGGCTCTACCTCACAAGCTTCTCAGCAGAAGCCCCGAGAAGGGTGCCTCTCCCTGGGTGAGTTCTGCCCTGTGGCGGTGGGAAGGATGAGTCACCCTGCATCCCAACCCCCGCCCCCCAGGTTAACTAGCTTGACCACCTCGCTGCAGCAGGTGAATGCCTGTGTTTCCAGAGCTCACATGGTTGCCACCTCTGCCAGCGGGCAGGGGTGGCCCCTTTCCACGGCTCCTTTCCCTTACGCTGGCTGAAACCTTTGCAGATTTCGGTGCAGTCATTTAGCAAATATTTACTGGGCACTCACGGCAGCGGGCACCAAAGCTGGGTACCTCAGGCTGGTTGGGCTAATTTCGCCTCAGAAGCAGCAGAAATTCTGGAACCAGGAGGTTGGGATTAAGCTCAGGCTCCACCACTGGCAAGTGGAGCGGCCTTAAATGTGAGTGGGTGTCCGGCTATCTGGGGATGCCCTCCTCAGCCCCATGTTGGAGCAGAGAAACTCAGAGGACAGAGCTTACCCCAAACCAACCATCTCCACCACTCCTGCCACCAACAGCCTCAGACAGACCTCAGCCAACACCACCCCTACCATCGCCATCACCATCGACAACACCAGCTCAGTCATCATTCCACTCCTACACGCCAGTGCTACATCCCATCCGGTGCCCCAAGTCATCACGTCATCAGCATAGCCACCATCCTGGTTGTCACCACCCCCGTCCCTGTCAGCACCGTCGCCATCCAACACCACTGTCAGTGCCTGTTCTGTCACCATCTTGTCATGACTCACCAGCCGCAGTAGGACCACCACTCAGAGACTTGAGTCCCTGGAGAAGGGGGCGGGGGGGCAGGGGAGGCGGCCCCATTAAAATTTCCAGCAGTGGGCCAAGGTCAGAAACTTCTCATGGGGCTTGTGTCAGGGTGAAGTTGTGGAAACTGGAGCAGCAACAGAACCAGGATAGGGCATCAGGGCCCCTCCTCCAAGAGCACCTGGGGTAGCCCTTCTCCCAGGACGGATGGGCACAAGGGCAGTGCATCTCAGTGGGCTCCCGGTCCCCATCGAGAGATGGAGCTTCAGGACAGCCCGTGGAAGGGACATGGGGATTCTAGTTCTGGCCCCAGATCTGCCCCTTCTCTAGGCCTGGAACTCTGCACAGAACCCTCTCCTTACCTTGTCTTGTTCTCTGACCCAGCAGAATGCCCCGCCCCGGACTCCCTCCTGCTCACCCGGCCCTGCTCTTCCTCGCTCCTGGCCTTCCTCAGCCCTCCACGACATCCACGGCCCAGCCCGGACAGAGAACATCTTCAGCCACCTCCCGCTGCACTCCCAGCACCTGGCCCGTGCCCCGTGCCCCCTGATTCCCATCGGGGGAATCCAGATGGTGCAGGCCCGGCCAGGGGCCCACCCCACCCTGCTGCCAGGGCCCACTGGGGCCTGGGTCAGTGGCTTCTCAGGAGGTGGCAGCGACCTGACAGGGGCCCGGGAGGCCCAGGAACGAGGCCGCTGGAGTCCCACTGAGAGCTCGTCAGCCTCCGTGTCCCCCGTGGCCAAGGTCTCCAAGTTCACACTCTCCTCGGAGCTGGAAGCCAGGGACGACCCCGAGGAGCAGGAGAGGACGAGTGAGAGCCTGGGCAGACCGCCCGACTGGGAGCCCCCAGGGCCCGCGCCCACGGACACCCCCTGCACCCCACCCAAGGCCTCGCCCCGACCACCCCAGGGCAGCCGAGCGGAGCGGACCTGGGACCCCAGCATGGAGTCACTGTGCACTGTCGTCCACCCCCAGCCCTTGGCCGCCCTGCCCCTGGACCGCAGCAGCTCGGCAGGCTGCCTGGCAGAGGCCTCCACGCGCCCCCCAGCTCGGAGAAGGAACCTTTCTGGGGAGCCCAGGACGGGTCGGGGCGCCCCCGAGGGCTCCCGTTCGGCACCTCCAGGCCAGCCCGAGGACAGGGGCAGCCCCAGCACTTAGTGCCCCTCCGCAGCCTCAGCATCTGGCTTCCTGTGTTCGGCAACAGACGCTTCCAGCCAATTCCCTCGAACCGTCTTGCCCTCCTCGAGGGCGTGCTTCCGTCTGTCTGTCTGTCCAAGCAGCTTCTGCGCAGGCCCCCTTCGGTTTCATCTTTCATGTATGCAGTTACCTGTGCCTTTTTCTATACCTTTTGTTGCTTGAAACAAAACACAAACACAAACACACCCAAAACCCCTTCCCCGAGGATTGGAGGCTGTGACTATTTTGTGCTTGGGGTGGGGGTGGGGGGGTGAAGCCTCACCCCTCTGCTTCTGCGGCCGCAGCACCTCACCCCCAAGGGCTAGCAAGCGGCAACCATCTGCTGAGGGGGAGTTGGATGTGTGGAAGGGGAAGAAAGAAATTTTTTAAAATATATATAATCAAATGTAACAGCCAATGCCCCTATGTATTGAGGTTTATGGTAACTACTCACCGCTTGGTCCTACCCCAGCCAGCGGCCACCCCTCTCTGCTGCCAGCAGGGGCACCCAAACACAGGCAGTAAGGCAGATCCAGAAATAGCTAGCGCCTTCTTGATTCCCACCCCACCCCCCTTTATTTTTAAGGAGCCCCAGTGGCACAATGGGTTGCACTGAGCTGCTAACCACAAGGTCAGCGGTTCAAACCCACCAGCCGTTCCTTGGGAGAAAGCTGGGGCTTTCTGCTCTTATAAAGAGGTATAGGCTGGGAAACCCACAGGAGCAGTTCTGCTCTGCCCTGTTGGGTCCCTGTGTGTTGCAGCCGATTGGATGGCAGTGGGTCTGGTTTGGTTGTTTCACTTCTAAGAAAGGGAAAAAAATGTTACTTTTGTTAAGATTTAAATGCAAAAAAAAAAAAAAAAGCTGGTAAAAGGTGGGTTCTGATTCCCCCCAGGGGTCCCCGATCCCCAGCACTCCTCCCCTCCATTCCCCCTACCCCCACCCCTTGGGCTGGAACGGGCATCCTGCCTACCACTTCCTGCACACCTGCCCTGGCCCTGCCCATAGTCAGCCATCCACATTCTGTGAAAGCCGCCCATAAGGCTCATGGATCCGGGCCCACAGCCTAGAGGTCAAGCTTCGGGGGGGTCATCTTTCGGTTCTAAGGGGTGGGGTTAAGGAGACCCTGTTTTCTATATGCTCAGGCACCGGAGGCTTTTAGGGACGTGTGTCTGAACCCCTTGATAGCAAGACTGGTGTTGTGTCCCCCGCCCCCGCACACACACCGGACCCATCAGCCCACCGTCCAGGAAATAACCCTGAGCCTTTTTAGTTGGCTTATACTTTAAAAAGACATATATATATAATCTATATTTTAGTCTCTTCTCTTTGAGTTGTTCGATATCTACAGCGTGGGCATGCGCCTAAGGAGACTCAGAAGAGAAGATGCTGTCTGATACCGTCCCCGCCCTCCTGGTGTTCTCTTGACTTGGAAGAAGGTTCCATTGCCGGAAGTCATTTGAATTCTTCTCTGAAGCAATCTGTTCAGAGCCAGTGGCCCTTCCCTCCTCGTCCCCCCTTCAAGAAGGCGCCCTGCATTTCCAGGGGCAGGCCCTGCTTTGAAAGAAAAAGCGTAACCCAAACTCCCCATCTCAAGACAAACTGTGGAACCCGGGCGCCAGCACGCTTTGCCTGCTATGGGAGAGGTGAGGTGGTTGCACCCTTCCAGAAATGAGCCCCCTGCAGAGCTGGCCGTGGGGGGGGAGGGCTGGGGCAGCTCCCCACCCCCACTTCTGAGCTGACTACGCTGTTAGATGGGGCTCAACTATCAAGCCTATCTATACAAGGCCCCTTCTGTGGGGCCACAGCTCCACCTCCCTGCAGACCTCCTGGTTCATCCTCCTTGGCCTCGCTCAGCGCTAAGACGGCACCGAAAGGCAATGCGCCCTGTCGTGCGGAAATGAGGGGTTCCGCTGCTCCCTGGTGTGCTGGGTCAGGTCAGCAGCAGCTCTGGGCTGCTTGACTCTAAGGCAGTCTGCTCAGTCTCGGCAGTTGGCACTGTGGTGGCCTGCTTGAGTCTGGCATGAAGTGGCAAGAAGCCTGGCCCCACTCAGCGTACAGGCCAGGGGTCACCTCAGCCCAAACCCATAGAACTAGCTGAGAATTAGCCTTCAAGATAGGAAGGCCTTGGGGGTGGGGGGGGGCAGGGAGGCTAAGGCCTGGCATGTGGAGGTCATGCCCCTCTCGCCCTGCCCTGTGTGCACCCCCAGCTTCCTCTGTACTCACAGCACCTCACCCCACCCCCAGAGGACAGTGTGCTCAGCAGGGGGGAGTGCCCCACAGTCTCAGGAACACCAGACACAGACAGAGAGGACATTCAGGGCCAGGACTCACCCAAAACCCTTGTCTAATGAAATACAAATGGAATCCAGCCCAAGGGCTGCTGCCGCCACAGGTGCCCAGAGGATAGGGTTGATGCCACCAGTCTGGGGGTATGTCACTGGCCCGGCTGCCAGACTCTCTTCATTCCCCAAGCATGGAGCTCCCAGCCACTAAGCTGTCTCAGCAATGTGGGGAGTCACTCTAACCAGCTCCAGACTACACCCTTCCCCGGACACCCCTGCCCGGCTCCCAACTGCTGCCATGTTGCTAATTGGGCATGACTCTCCTCAGCTGGCCAAGCAGAGCAGAGGAGACTGCAGGGACACCTGAAAGGTGCAGGGACACCAGCACAGACCAGCTCTGGCCTTTGGGTGTTGGCAACAGAGGGGAACCACCTAATGAGGCTTCCGGGCCAAACCTTGCCTTCTGTTGGGGACTCCCGGCTCCCAGGCCCGCCTTCCCAGATGCTCTCTGGTCCTGGAAAACTCAGGGCCAGTCTGGGTACTAAGTCCATTCCTCCTGAAGGCAACCTTCTCCAGGCCTGCCCCCTCCTGCCCATCCAGTCCATAGCTTACTCCCTGGCCCTGGCCACCAAGACCCTCCAGGAGCCATCCCCGTAGTCAGAAAAACAGATGGAAAGGATTCCCTACCCGATTCCTCTAGCCCCTGCTCCATGCTCCCTGGGGTCTTCTCGAATAGGAACAAGCAATACATCGAGGCTGAATTTCTCTCTAGTTCTTTCTCCAGGCAAAACTTCCCAGAAAGCAAAAGTCGCAGCTGGGCCGCCAACCCCCAGAGGCAGCCCTGCAGGACCAGCCAGGGTGGGGAGGAGTTCCCAAAGGCCTGCTCCACAAATCCCTCTCCATGTGTCCTACTTCCCATTAGAAAACGGCTTGGGCACTTATGATCACTTTACTATAAGCCTAGCGTAGAAAAAGAGAGGGGGAGAGAGAAAAGCGAAAAGAAACGTGTCGGCAAATGTAATATACCTGCTCTCTGTAAGATAAATATTGGCCTTTTTTTTTTAAAGGTGTATGTGTTCTGTATGTGAAATTGTCTGTAGAGAGTTTCTGTGTTCTTAAATGGCAATACATTCCAAAAAGTCTTACTGTAGATAAGTACAGCAGCCACACTGGGATGGAGTAGTTTTGCCTGTAATTGTATTTAAACTCCAGTTCCTCCACTTGCATCTTGCAATGTCGGTATGGTAGATATCAGTGCAAAAAGAAAAAAAAAACTCATGCAGGTCTAAAGCAGAGTCTGACGTACAAAAGGAAACTGCTCAGTATTGATGTGTGTGACCTTTGTTGTAAATTACATCTGTACTGTGAATGAGAAGTTTTTACAAGTATAATAATTGCCTTTATTACAGTTCGGGCTGGGTGTTCAGCCTGAGGATATTTTTAATAATAAAAAGAGGGGCAGGGAAGCACGTTGGAATAAATTTTAAAATCCCAACACAGCTTTGCTGGCCTGGCTCATGGTTCTTTTTGACCATTGCTGTGGGTTAGGCGTTGGGCTGCTAACTGCAAGGTCAGCAGTTCAAACCCATGAGCTGCTTCATGGGAGAGAGATGAGGCTCTCCACTCTGGTACAATGGAGTTTCTTTGGTTTGGGGATGTGCCCCAGAGGGAGGCAGTAGCTGGGCCCCCATCACCCAGCCTGGGCCTCTCTAGTGACCAAGAATGTGTGCTGAGGCTGGGCCCAGGGTGCTGGGGCTACAAGGGGTAATCCTGACTGGTAGGGCCCCACCTTGTGTATTCAAGACTGGCAGCCATCCTCCCTTGGTAGGGTTATGGCAGTGAGCAAGACACAGGCCTCCTTTGAAGAGCCTGCATCCTAACAGGAGAAGCAGTCACTAAACAAATAATGATGTCACTAATTGCTCAATCACAGGGGCTGCCTGGCCATGGAGGGAGGATAAGAACAAAAAGGAGCTCACCGTGAGTCACCAGGAAAGCTTTCCTGGAAAACTCTGGGCGGAGCGGGTGGAGGAAGCCGAAGGGAGAGAAGCCCGTGGACAAGGGGGCTCCTTCAAGTAAAAGACCACTGAAGTGTGGAAGGCTGGAACCGAAAGGGGTGGGGCCACAGGTAGGCCCTGCTGACTGAGGGCACCTGCGGGTGGGCAGGAGTCAGGGAGGAGATGGCTCAGCACGGTGTATAGCAGGCCCTCCACAGACACTGCAGGCACAGCTGGCTGGTGGAGATCTAGGCTGGGACCCAGGCCGGCTCCGGCAGGATAGGTCCCAGTGATGCTGCAAGAAGCAGCCCCCAAAACTCCGGCTAAGCTGTGTGCTCCGTGTGGGTCAGCAGGAGACGTTTATGCATCCCGGGCATTCAGAGTCCCATAAGGAGGGCTGCGCCCCCCCAGACCAACGGCAGAGGTAGAGAGAGGGAGGGGGCCAGGGTACCTGGCCCCCTCCTTAAATGCTTCTAACTTGCAACCAGCGTGTAGCCCTTCCATCCACCTTTCACTGGCCAAAGCACCTCCCCTGGCCTTGCCTGCTGGTAGGTGTTGCGGTGGGGTGCATAGCAGTCGGTTTTGACTCATCATGACCCCGTGGGATGGGGTAGAACTGCCCCCACAGGGCTTTCTAGGCAGTCAACTTCATGGGAGCAGACCGTCGGACTCTTTCCGCCCGGGCAGAGAAAGAGAATCTTCGTAAACCGCCCCAATAACCACCACAGAGAAAGGCCTGGGAATGTTTTGGTAAACATGACATCCAAGAACGCCCCATGAAGCACTTCAGCACTGCCACCCATGAGCCTGGCTTGGCAGGCGGCTGAACTGACTCTCAGGCTGCTCGCCGGAAGGTCAGCAGTTTAAAGCTACCAGCCACTCCGGGGGAGAAAGATGAGGCTTTCTGTTCCCATAAAAAGTTACAATCTCAGAAACCCGCATGGGGCCATTCCACCCTGTCCTCTAGGGTCACTATGGGGTCAGAATTGACTTGATGGCAGTGGGTTTGGGTTTTATGGTTTTATGGTCCTGACAACGATCCAGCAAGATGAGGGTGGTTGTCCCACGTTCAGAGTCTTCAAACAGAGGCTCCTTTGCAGCCAAAGCCACACAGCTAGTGGGGTCAAAGTGAAGAGTAGGTCCTAAGTTCGACTCCAAAGCCCCCCTCCCCCTGCTCTGGCTCCGGGGACCCTGTGTCTGACTGCTCAGTTGCCACCCAGTGCAGGCCCAGCCTGGGGGCTCCTTTCCCAAAGCTGCCTGGTTTCTCGGCCATGTCAGCTGGGTCCCTGGAGGTTCCAGG